GGAGTGGCGTGTCAGATTTGTGGGAGAAATGAAGAAAGCAAAGTGTGTGGGGGAAACGGAAAAAAAAAAAATTTGAATTTTGACGACGATAGGTAATCGTTACATGTGGCGCACAATTGTTTTGCCTCCTTTATTTTATAGTGAAGTAGAGAAATTAAACTAGTGTAAAAATAGGACACCATTAATAACATTGTTTCTCCAAATTGCATCACGTACTTTGTTTCTCGTGTTTTATAACCTAATTTAATTATACAAAGTCGCATAGTGTGATAATAAACTTACTAATCTTCATGTTGTCATGTATCAGACACATGTAATCACTCATATCCAAGTCCTTGCTCGTTTAATATATCATCTTTCTTATGCTCATCTTCCATCTATACCAGCATGGAAGACCCCATCAGTTACCACATATCTTAAGATTCCATTTATGTCGTTATCTACCAAATTTGTTGTCTGGAAAGTCCAATTCGGTGGCCATCGCGGGTTCAGCCCAAGAGATGTAAGCCATTATTTGAACATAGAACTTTAGAACCTTCTCAGCTAATTAAAAGCTAGGGGCGATCGACGTATATGTCGAATCTATGATCATTTTTATTGTCAGGGTAAATCTATAGCTGTTTATTTTTTATTTTGGCTGTCTCTCATTCATGCCTGATAAGCTTAGCTTATTTCAGGGGTGGTAAAAAGGGCGGAATAGCTCGTCAGCTCGACTCGTCAAAACTCAGCACATGGACGACTCGGGCTCGTTTCGGGACGAGCATGAGCCCGAGCCCGAGCCTAGCTGGGGGCTCGCCTGGCTCGACGAGCTCGCAAACGAATCGTGGGCTAAAGTTCATGACCCTCGAATCTCGTAAAAAATGTGAAGGAAAATGTAAAAAAAAAAACTCGTGGGCTCGACTCGGCTTGTGAGGTTATTAGCTCGTAGGTCGACCCTTGAGCTTGACTCGTCAAAGTGACGAGCCGAGCTCATGGGTAGATGGGCCGAGCCGAGCCACTAGCTTATTTTCCTTTTTGACCTTTTTGAAATACCTTAAGCTTGTTTATACATGTTAAGTCGATCATTTTCACATAATAAAACATAGTCTTTGGCTTCACGTGTTTGCTTCCTCAAATAAAACCTAAAATACTACTTTATCACTATTGTACTTGAATCCGTTTCAATAAATTCAGGTTTTATTTGATTAAACATGACTATATGTATAGCCTTTTTCCTGAAGTTCATGTATATGTTTTGCAAGGAAATGATGCTGAAAACAGAAGTATACTTTATCTTCTAATCTGAAAGACTTGACGCCTATCATTAAGCATAAGGTATTTTGAGAGGTCAAGAAGGAAAATAATGGAAAACTATTTGGGTGTACTAAGACAAATGTGGGATAACCAAAATGAAAAATAAACATCTACGGGTTTCCATATTTTGTAATGCGTGGTATGTTTTCGTAAGAATTTCATCACATAAATTTTGTATCACTGTATATACTCTAGTCTTGTATCGCCTAATATTGACATCGAAACTTATTATTCATTGTTTCAATATCTAAAGAAGCCCTTGTTTGGTCCCCCATTATTTCCAAAATATTTTTTTTTTCTCTTATTTCAATCACACATTCTTTAATAAAATAATATTACATGTAAATTCAAAATTTTCCCTTATTTTTTAAGTATACATTCTCCATCAAAATACTATTCCAAAATGCAATTTAAGGAAAAATGGGGCTCAAACAATAGACAATTTAGTTCTTAAAATAATAATGAAAACAATGAGATTAGTCCAACAATGGTAGTGTGTAACATATGTAGGTGGCATTAACTGATATTACTTTTTAGCGAACACTCGTAGGGAATGACATAAAATATCATTGTTGAACCAATGTGTATAGGAATTCACTTACATGGGTATTTACTCGGCCCCCTTTGTAAATGTTTTTGACTCCATAGTTTTGCGCAAAGTATTGTAGTGA